CGGTCTAGCTTCCATCAGGCTTCCGGCAACATCAGCCACCCCGGCGTTGACTGGAACTTAACAGCGTGGCCACATCTTGAGAATGGGGCGATGCCTTAGCACCTCTGGCCGAGAGACTGTGCTTTTCCATCCATGCAGAAGCGGAAGTCAGGCCCAGGCAGGCCTGAAATGGCGACTTCCTAGGCTCGCTGTTGTATGCTCTGGGGCGGGGACTGTGCAGGCCGCCTGGGATTGCCTCTGCTAACCCAGCAGCTGGGCAATGTGACCTCTCGATTGTCATTTCCTGGTCTGCAAGATGAAGGCGTGGGCCTGCTCATCACCAGGGGCTCCTAGGCGCTAATGTTCTCTACTGGTAATTACAAGATTATTTTTATGTTTGTCCCTGTGTTTCCCCTGTAATTTAGCAGTATAAATGAGAACATGAAACAATGAACCCTCTCCCAGCAGGGGTGGGCAGTTCGGCCGATATCCTCCTCTTGCAGGCTTCTGCCCACAGGTTTCCCATGACTAATTAAAAGCAACCCCCGGACCTGCGCTTGTTCTCCCTCCGCCGTTTGGGGAACCCACGTTTTCCATGTTCACCTTCTGGGTTGGTTGCTTCTCCCCTCTTGTTCATGAGGCTGTCCTCATGGCACAAAGTTCAGAACGTTACTCAGTACATACTTGTTTCTTACCCCATGCCCCGGTCCCCTGGTTCTTGTACCTGTGAGCAACCAGTGCGAATCAGTCCTATGTGTATTCAAGTAGTGTGTGTGTGTGTGTGTGTGTGTGTGCAGTCTACATACTCACACACACACGTGAGGGGGCACCAAAAAGTATGTGGAAAATGAAATTAAAGTGAGTTTATTTTGGCATAAAACTATTTCGTAATCTATACATATTAGGTCATCGGAAAAGTCTTGATGTATTTTTTTTTGTTTAGATATTGAATTCCTCCCCCCCCTAAATACAGTCCAGTCATGCATTGTGAGAAGTGTGTTGTCAGGTGAGTTTGTCATTGTGAGTATCATAGAGTGTGGGCACACACAGCTAGATAGTACAGCATACTACATATTTAAGGTATATAGTCTTGTCTGTTATAATCCCGTGAGACCACTGTCATATACGCAGTCTGTCATTACCCAAATGTCATTTGTGGTGTGTGTGTTGGGTGTGTACATGTGTATGTATTTCTTTTTACCCAAGTGATACTGCTG